GCCGATTTTCGCGAATTTTCGTTTTTTTTTTTCCGGGGATCTCCTGGCAAACGCCCACCCCTTCTTTTTGGCAATTTTCCATGTTCAAGACCCTGGGCTTATACCCGGATAAATACGGTAATCCTGTATCATACTGTCAATCCTGTTTCATACCATCAATCCCATATAATACTGTCAATCTCATATAATACTGTCAATCCCTTATCATACCTTCACTCCTGTATTATACTGTCAATCCTGTACCATACCATCAATCCTGTACCATACTGTCAATCCCTTATCATATCATTAATCCTGTATCATACTGTCAATCCTGTTTCATACCATCAATCCCATATAATACTGTCAATCTTGTATCATACTGTCAATTCTGAATCATCACTTTATCTCAAAATGCAATTTGCGTGCATTTATTTGTTATGCATTACAGTACGAGTAATTTGACATTTGCTTATAATAAATAAATTGAAATTATGTGCAATTTACATAGAAGCATTTTTTTGGCCTCTACAGAAGGTTTGCTTCAAATAAAAGTAACTTTTGCACTATAACTATTTGTTTATTTTAATTTCAATGTTGATTTGAGGCATAATGTTGAATTGCTCATAGATTTGATAGAGTATTCTGATAAAAAGGAGGTCAATTGTAATAGAATTAAGAGGGAAGTTCTTCATGTTTTAACAAAGACCAATCTGCTCATAGTGATGGTTTATATTACGACAGTTGTGAAGTATGAGAAATAATGAATAAATTGAAAAACATTTACAATTCAACCATTTTAAAATTGTCACCTTTCATGTCTTGTTTGAATTTAGTTTGTACCAATGAAAGACCAAGAGATTCCCATGGGAGTAAGTTTAATTAAAAATAAACATGCACGTTTTTTTTTGGTGGGAAAGGTGAGTTAGTTGGCAAGAATGAGTCAAGTGTGAGTAATTTTGGTCAGAAAAGCTAGAAATAAGAGTTTTTTGGTGAGAAAGGTTTAAGTGTGTGTTATTTTGATACGAAAAAATCATTTTGGTGAAACTGGTGAAGAATTAGCTATTTTGACGAGAACGGGTAAAGTGTTGTTTTACTGAGAAAAGGCAAAGAATTCAATATTTTAGTAAAAGAGAATCAGTATTAATTGTTTAGTTGAGAAAAAGAGTAAGTGTGCATGATTTGAGACGTACCTCAAGAGTTTTACTGTCATGATCCCCTGTGACTAAATTAATACTTGGAGCTGAGGTAGACCGTTCTCTCGGTAGACCAGGTTTGGGTATATGCTGTGGTGACGATGTGGCTCCTAGTGGTAGTGTCATTCCCTTGCCATAACCTGGATCATTCTGTTCTGTATCAGAATCTAGAAACACGCTACGTGAATCTGATGGCATCTCAGCACCAGTTCCTTTTAGCCCTAGCAACCTAAGTAACGGAATATGCACACTGTTGAAAGGTGAGTACTTTATGTAATAAGGAAGACCTGGGATAAGAATTGAACTTAAAATGCAGTGAATGTTAAAGTATGGCAAGTGTAGCATCAGAAAATTTTAATAATTATCATGTATTTACAAGCAGTAGTTTGTGAATAATGGCTGCAAGAATAAAGATTTAAGAGAACAGACATTAGTTTGACCATTGGTTTCTAGATTACATGCAGGATACATCTACGATGCATTGGGAAAATATGAACAAAACATGAATTTATGCAGATTTTACTTTTTTTGAGTAAAAAAAAAGAAAATGAATATGCAGAATAAAAAAAAGCAGAATGAAAATTGAAAAATAGGAATATCCCAGCTTCCTTATTTTTTATGTTGTCTTTGGTTTCCTTCACAATCACTATAGTAACGTGGCGGCCATATTGATTTCATTCTGCCAACAAAACATCTGAAATGTTACTTGCAATGCTCTACAAAAATTAAAATAAATAACATATAAAACAAAGTAAAACATCTAGATTTTCAGGCACTAAGAAAATTGGGGAGAAAAATTGAGGAATTTTCCATCATGCAAAAAAATCTTCTAATCTTGTAATCTTGTGTTTCAGAGTTCATCGTGTTGTATGTTCACAAAGAAAGACATGAAACAAGATAAAATTTAATATATAGACATATACATGTTACATAGATACAGCCTGAGCATACATGTAGCTTCCGCTAGCTTTAAGATGGCTTTCAAAACTGTCACATATCTGAATTATGCAGAGTAATCTGCCTCTAATAGATTAGGTACTGTAAAACATGTTGAAAAAGCGACATGCAATTTTAGCGAATTGTAGTAAAATGACGTAATAGCGAAATGTTGATTTAGCGAATCTCTCTTGTCATTGTTGATTTCTTTGTTTGGTGGCCATTTTGAATTGACTATAAAGTCATTAGCAACATCTTGAATTAGCGAATCAGTTCTCTTGCTAAATTCGAGAAAAAGACATGTTTTACAGTATATACTACAAGGAATATATTTAAATTATTAAGAACAATAATACTTTAAAGATTGTGAGATTTTATTTAAAGGCAAATCCAGCTGATAGCCATCTTGGAATGTATGTCCAGACTGTACACGTACACGTATGGTTAGAATTGCACAATGTGCACATTAACAATGGTGGCAGTAACCACACTGCGCACATTAGACGATGGTGACATTAACCATAATGTGCACATTAACAATGGTGGTGGTCACCACAATGTGCACATAAACAGTGGTGGTGGTCACCACAATGTGCACATAAACAATGGTGGTGGTCACCACAATGTGCACGTAAACAATGGTGGTGGTCACCACAATGTGCACATAAACAATGGTGGTGGTCACCACAATGTGCACATTAACAATGGTGGCAGTAACCA